GAGTTGCATCCTTCGGGTCACTGTCTTACCGGCATACCCTCTTTTCGGGCCCCTGCCACTACAGCATGCCTACCTTCGGGTAACTGCCTTCGGTTAACTGCCTTACCCTCTTTTCGGGCCCCTGCTGCTACGGCATGCCCATCTTCTTAGGGCTACTACCATCATGGTATGTCCACCTTTGTTTTATTGCCTTATCGGCATACCTTCTAGGGCCGCTGCCACCACGGCATGCCCATCTTTTTTGGGGCTACTAACGCTACGGTATGCCCACTTTTACGATTCACTACCTTCATAGCATACTCTTTATCACTATTTATATGTTTTGATTTGCCTGCATTAGCATTTGCATTTGCATGTTTGCATGGATAGCGAGCCAGACCCGTTAGGAGAGTAACTCCCGTGTTGGTCGCGATGCCTTAACGAACATTGCTCGCTGGGCCAATCCCAATGAGCAATGCGAGTTAAGTCATCGGGACTGACATGAGTATGACTGTGCTAAGAATCTAATGAATCTAACTAATGTCATTCCCTTTTGTGACACTCAGATTTTTTTTTGGATCCTTAGGATGGGGCCAGTAAAGTAACCCCGTCAAAGTCATACCATACCAAAATTTACCCCACTTAGATACTAGGTTGATGCACTTTTCGTTAGATGGTGTGCTAGGCTAAGACTTAGGGAGCTAGGTAGTTTTTTTGATACTTGGCTATTGTTCTTTGTTGGATTGTTTGCCCTAGCCAAATATCTTTCTTTTGCATTATGCTTGTGATGTGATTGCATGTTGCATATGTATGGTAGTGTGTTAGGGCGTTCTTCTGCAGGGAGCCATGCCTATTTTCATACACACACAAGTACCGCTATGGGGGAGCATGTAATGATTTCTGACTATTTTGCTTGCAGGTGCTATTAGCTCCCCCCACTTTTAAGGCATGACTCACGATACGTTATGTGCATGTGAGTTTTCCCGCTGACATTTATTTTCATGCAAGATTGAGTCTTTTTCTTTTCTCGATGTATTTTTTTTAGAGTCTAGGAGAGACTTGTAGTAGAAATAAGATACGGGCACGAGTTCCGAGACGTTAGCACGGGAACCACATGGAAGGGACCAGAAGCAGATGTTTGTGCCCCGTATCTTAATTCTGCATTTTATATTGATGTATAGAATTAGGACCGGGCATGTGTATGCGGAGTGCGACCGCCCTTTTTCTTTTCTGGGGTATGTTGCCGACCCAGCGGCACCGACCTGTTTATTATTTTGGTTTGACTTGCTTTGCTTTATTTTCACATCATGTTGCATGTCTGCACTTGCATGTGTTTTTCTTGTTTTATTTCTATGTTTTATCTGAGATTTCGTGACACAACATAGGCTCATTAAGAACCCTAAAATTTTAATTTTCTACAAAATCCTAAATAAAAT